CATTGGGGGCAACCCCCTCCCCCGCCCCAACAACAGCCGAACACCCCTGAAACAAGAATACGCCAGCACCTACCCACATGCCGCTACACAACCCGAAACCTAAACCCTAAACCCTAAATTTCAACCTCGTTGAAGTGTTCGGCCTCACAGTGCTCTTCCACAAGCTCGTCGGCCAGGTGCGCGAAGACATCGCGATCAACGGCCTCCAATGCTCGGCACTGAGACCATCAGCTGAAGGGTTTAGGGTTTGGGGTTTGGGGTTTGGGGTTTGGGGTTTGGGTTTGGGGTTTTGGGTTCAGGGAAATATTAAGGGGTAAAGGGAGGGACCGCAAGAAGGGACCCTTAATCTTATTCCCCTATATCACCCCTTTGCATACCTTGTACAGTCCCTATATACCTAAGTGGCCCCTAAATAACCAGGTCCCTTACAAGGGTCCCCCCTTTAGCTCCTGAACCCTCATGAAAGCTGAGGCTTTGAAGCCCCAAAACCCTAAACTTCAGAAGCTCGAAGCCCTAGCGGCCTCGCAAGCACTGTAAACCCGAAACCCTCGAACCAAGCCCTGAACCCTGGATGCCGAAGATTGGGCCCTTAGGGCTTTCGGGGAGCTTGTAAGCTTTAGATGTTTCTTATAGGGTTTAGGGTTTAGGGTTTAGGGTCTAGGTTTAGGGTTTAGGGTTTAGGGTTTAGGGTTTAGGGTTTAGGGTTTAGGGTTTAGGGTTTAGGGTTTAGGGTGTAGGGTGTAGGGTTTAGGGTTTAGGGTCTAGGATTTGGGGTGTTCAAGGGGTGTGTGTGTGTAACCCAAGGTTGACAGGCACCCTTTCTTGAATTCCCCCTCCCTTAAGAACCCCAAAAGAAAGGGTTCTTAGGGTAGTTACATAGTCCCGGTTTAGGGTTTAGGGTTTAGGGTTCAGGGTTTAGGGTTTAGGGTCCTTAGTATGGGCCCCTAAAAGGGACGCCTTATATACCCCTTGTATACCCTCTAAAATTCAAGGGCCCATACTTCAGAACCTCTTAAAGGAGGTAAGGGACCATATTCAGTGCCCATGAAACTACCCTAAATCCTAAACCCTCAACCCTAAACCCTAAACCCTGGGGTTTCGAGTATTGGGCCGAGGGTCTCAGAGTGGCTCAAGGTGTGGTCTAGGGGGCAGTAGGGCCTTCTCCCTAAACCAAATTGTGGCTCAGAGAGTCATAAAGCGAGAGAATCCAAATGAACCCTTAACCCGAAACCCTAAACCCTATAAACCCTAAACCCTTTCAACCCTATACACCCCATAAACCCTAAACGCTAAACCAAAAAACCCATTAAACCCTAAAAGCCCTAAACCCCCATGCCCTCTGGGTAATCCTGAAGCCTGAGGCCGTGGCCAAGGAGCGCATTGATTCCAGGGCGGGGGCGAACTCTTGGGTTCCTTTGTGCGCGGCGGAGGGAGCTGCTTAGTTTCAGGGGTGTAGGGTTCAGGGTTTAGATACCTGACACAACACGGCCCTAAGACCGAAAGCCTGAAACTGCACCCATAGATCATTGAAAGGTCTCAAGGCGGCATTGGCAGCTTTACAGCTCTAAGTCCTAAGCGCTGAGCCCTAAACTCTAGGGTCCATGGGTTCGGCTGCGCGAGACCCCCTTCCTCAGCGGACCCCCGCACCTAGGTCTAGGTCCCAGGGTTTAGGTGAGTGTTTAGGGTTGACAGGTGTGCAGGAGGAACAAACAGGGTCCCAAAACCCCAAACCCAAAACCCCAAACCCTAAACCCTGCAAAAGGCATCGACCTCCCCAAACCCCAAGGGCATCGACCCCCCCTCAAAAAAACCACCAACAAAAAGAAACCAAGGGCCCACTCTGGTCCCTAAACCCAAAACCCAAAACCCAAAACCCAAAACCCTAAACCCTAAACCCTGTCTCAGTGCCTGACGCTCTGTTAGTTGCGACAAGGCCTGGGCTGAGGGCTTCCTAGCCCTAAGACCTACATCCTGAACCCCAAATCCCTCCAAACCCTCCAAGCCCTAAACCCTGAGCCCTAAGCCCTAAGACCCAAGCCCTAAGCCCTAAACCCTAACCCCCCAAACCCTAAACCCCAAACCCTAAACCCTAAACCCTAAATCCTAAACCCAAAACCCAAAACCCTAAACCCTAAACCCTGAACCTTCACTGGCGCCTCTTCATCTGCGGTCTCCGGCTTGAGCGAGGCTGCTGCCTTCGGGCATTTGGCGGAGCTCAGGGTTTGAGGTTAGAGCCTACAGGGCTTTAGGAAGGGTTTAGGGTTTAGGGTTTAGGGTTTAGGGTTTGGGGTTTGGGGTTTGGGGTTTAGGGTTTAGGGTTTAGGGTTGAGGGTTGAGGGTTGAGGGTTGAGGGTTGAGGGTTGAGGGTCTTGGGTTTCAGGTTTCGGGCCTTCAGGGCTTCAGGAAGGGTTTAGGGTTTAGGGCACTCCAGGAAGGTAGGGTGCCAACCTCAAACACCCCTGAAACCCTAAACCCTAAACCCTAAACCCTAAACCCTAAACCCTGAACCCTGAACCCTGAATCCTCAAACCCTAAACCCTCAACCCTAAGGAGACCCTGACTGGAGTCGGGAAACCCTAAAAACCAAACTGCCCAAAACAGCGAGGCCCCGACGTCACCGGCCGTCTCTGCAAGGAAGAGCCTTGATCGCTGAGGTCGCACACCGGGTTATCGTTAGGGTTCAGGGTTTAGGGTTTAGGGTAAGTGAAACATGGCCCTTTAAGGATGTTGCCTTGTTACAGATCCTCTTAAGGGAATATAAGGGCCACTTGCGGCGTATACTCAGAGAACCTGTTAGGGGGTTACGTCCTCAGGGGTCCGAGTATCAAGGGACCAACGCAGGGACCCTTGTAAGGGAATTCAGGGGTTACTTAGGCTCCCCTAAACCCTTAACCCTAAACCCTAAACCCTAAACCCTGTAAGGGAATTCCGGGTTTATTTAGGCTTTATTTCGGGGCTACTCCAAACCCTCAACAGCCCAACCACTAAGAGACCTCGAGGCCCTACACTCTGATTGAACCCGAACCCTAAACCCTAAACCCTAAACCCTAAACCCCAAACCCTAAACCCTAAACCCCAAACACTGTGGCAGTTTGCTTTGTTGTCGCTGTCTGTCGTTGCGGCTCGGGGCTTGGGGTAGGGACCCTTCCCCAAGCTACCAGAACGTCGTTTCTCTTCGCAGGATCTGCGTACACATCCGACGCCCGAAGGGTTTCGGGTTTAGGGTTTAGGGTTTAGGGTTTAGGGCTTAGGGTTTAGGGTTGGGATGTTCCCCCTTATACTAACAGTCCTTAGTACGGATTATATTAGGGGGTACTATAATCCCTATGAAGGACTGTTAGTATCAGGGGGAACATCCCAAGTTAAGGGTCAAGTTAAGGGTCTTGAAGGTTTAGGGTTTAGGGTTTAGGAAATAGGGTTTAGGGTTTAGGGTTTAGGGTCTTGAAGGATGTCAACTGAACAGTTGTACCCCCCTGCTGGCAACAGCGGCCTGCGAGCGCGAGACACAAGCCACGAGATGCTACGACCCTCCCCCCCCCCCCCCCCCCCCCCCCCCGACTCCCAGCCCTAAAGATTTCAAAGCCTCCGCCCTCTCGAGATTACCCTAAACCCTAAACCCTAAACCCTAAACCCTAAACCCTAAACCCTAAACCCTAAACCCTAAACCCTAAACCCTAAACCCTAAACCCTAAACCCTAAACCCTTCCCCCTAAACCCTAAACCACTAAAAAGCGGCCCAAGAGCATCTGCATGGCGCGAACCAAAGCACGCGGCTTGGCCGCACCCCGCTCGGCCTCAAAAATCTTATTGGCCTTACGATGAGCCCAGAGAGCCCAATACCCTTTATTAGGGGTTTAGGGTTTGGGGTTTAGGGTTTGGGGTTTAGGGTTTAGGGTTTGGGGTTTAGGGTTTAGGGTTTAGGGTTTGGGGTTTGGGGTTTAGGGTTTAGGGTTTGGGTCTAGGGTTTAGGGTCTAGGGTCCTAATTGGGAGGTTCATGGTCCTTCTTAACCAATTATGACTGTACTTATAACCCACTTATAAGCCCCTTAAGTGCCCGAATAGGGTTATAAGTACAGCTATATGTACAGTCATAATTTGTTAATAAGTGCCATGAACCTCCAAGTACCCCTTCATTATAATCCCTAAATTATAAAGGGATCCTTAATTCTGATTTAAGGTATATTCCTTGTTTAAGGGGTCTTGGGCTCAATGGGCTCATTGGGAGTATGATGATAAGATTTCGTACGATTCTGACTATTGTCATTATGATTCACAATAGTATTCTGATAAGGATGAATAGTAGTATTTGCTGATTAATAATCGTATTATGACTACAGTAATGTTGCTTTTCTTTGTTCCCCACCCTCGGTGTGGGGTTGCTAGATTTTAAACTCAACTCTTCTCCTCGCCCGGAACTCTTCTCCTCGCCCGGAACTCTTCTCCTCGCCCGGTCTACTCCTCACTCATCGGAGTGCCCAACCTCAAAGTATCCTTGGAGTGTCCGCCCAGAGTCTCCCTGAAGTGCTCAACCCCAGATTGTCCCCCGAAAAGCCAGGCCCAGAGTCTGCATGAATTGTCCAACCCAGAGTCTCCCTACAATGCCCACTGAGTGCCCAACCCCAGAGTGTCCCGGGGCCAGTCTCCCTAGAGTGCCCAACCCCAGAGTCTCAGAGTGTCCCCGGAGCGCCCAGCCCCAGAGTCTCCCTGCAGTGCCGAACCCCAGAGTCTCCCTGGAGTGCCCCAAGCCCAGGGTGTCCCCGGAGCGCCCAGCCCCAGAGTATTCCTGGAGCCCAACCCTAGAGTATCTCTATCAAGAGAGGGTGGGGATGTTCGAAGTAAAATAATTTTGATTAGTCTTCATACGTTTATGACTAATATTCGTACTATAATGATTATGCAGGGCTTCGGTTGGATTTTAAAGAGCGGGAAAGGTTTTGGAGTCTTCATGAGGTTTTCGTTCGCGTGTAGGACTTATGGCTCTTGTTGGGCGTCTAGGGCTCTAGCCTTTGCAGGGCCCTACATGCAGGGCTTGTAATGGGCTAGATGTCGCGGAAGGGGCTCATGACAGGTTTAGGGGTTTAGGGGTTCAGGGGTTTGGGGCTTATTCGGGTTTAGGGCTTGCGACATACGGGTTTAGGAGTTTATATGGCTTTGGGATGGAGCCTTTTCAAACAGATCACCCCAACTCGGACTACAATTTGAAGCAACCCTGCATGACCCAAGCCCTCAGACCCCACAACGACCCCACGCTCGTAACTCCCCGAAACCCTGAACAAGCCCTCTTCGGGCTAGGTGTTATGATTTATGGGGTTCAAGGTACCACCCCAAATCCCATACCCTGCAAGCCTACAAGCCTACTACCTACAACCCCTAATCCCTCAACCGCCCAGACCCCAAACCCTCAAACCCTCAACCCCAAACTCCCCAAACCATAAACCCTCAAACCCCGAACCCTAAACCCCAAAAACCCTAACCCTCAACCCCAAACCCCCCAAACCCCAAACACCCTTCCCTCCTGCTCACCCTAAACCCTAAACCCTCAACCCCTCAACCCCTCAACCCCTCAACCCCTCAACCCCTCAACCCCTCAACCCCTCAACCCCTCAACCCCTCAACCCCTCAACCCCTCAACCCTCAACCCTCAACCCTAAACCCTAAACCCTAAACCCCAAACCCCACTTCCCTCCTGCTCCAGCAGTCTTTGGAGCTCGTCGAAGAGACGCTTCACGTGCTCCGGGCCGATCCCCAGAGACAGGAGGTCGGCATCCTAGGCAGCGCTGGCATTGGGTTTAGGGTTTTTAGGGTTTAGGGTTTAGGGTTTAGGGTTTAGGGTTTAGGGTTTAGGGTTTAGGGTTTGGGGTTTAGGGTTTACGGTTTAGGGTTTGGGGTTTGGGATTTAGGGTTTAGGGTTCGGCATCCTCACCCGGCGCAACGCGAGCTTTCAGCAGCTGCAAGAAGCATTCTTTTTTCAGGGTTTAGGGGCCCAGGGCTCTTTAGCCTTAAACCCTAAACCCTAAACCCTAAACCCTAAACCCTAAACCCTAAACCCTAAACCCTCAACCCTAAGCCCTAAGCCCTAAGCCCTAAGCCCTAAACCCTATTTTCTGTTAGCTGGTGGGTCTTGGTGTAATGCCGGTTTGCTTCAGGGTGTTGGGTCTGGGCGAAAGCGATTTCGGGCTCAGGGCTTCGGAGCTTCGGGGTTTGTCCCTGACAGCCGTCCACAACTCTGAACCCTAAACCCTAAACCCTAAACCCTAAACCCTCAAGAGGCCCCTAAACCCCCAAAGATCTTATCCAAAGCAGGAATTGGAGTTTAGGGTTTGAAGGGGGTTCGAAGCTGATCTACACCTTTGCCCCAAAACTCATGAACCCTCAACCCTGATCATAGCTCACAGCCTCTAGTCCTCAACCCCAAACCCCAAACCCTCAACCCCAAACCCTAAACCCTAAACCCTAAATCCCAAACCTTGAACTGCCACAACCCAACATGTCCGGGGCGGCCTGCTCTTGCTCCTCCTCTTGGGTCTCTTCCTTCTCCGCCTTAGCGTCGGCCGCCACAGCCTTCTCCTTGCTTGCGGTGTGTTGTCTTAGGGGTTTAGGGTTTAGGGCTGAGGGCTTAGGGCCCAGGGCTCTGTGCTTTCGGGTATAAGACGGTTTTGGAGATTTGGAGTTTTGGGGTTTAGTACGATGTTGGTGTTTCGGGTAGTTCGGAGTTTGCCGGGTGTGTATAAACAGCGGTTTTCGGGGTTGGTAGAGTGGTGCGGCTTCCGGGTTTGGGAGTTCGCCACCTAAGACCAGAAACACCACCCACGACGAAAATCATATAACCCAATGAGGTACATCGGCTGAGGTTAAGGGAGGGGGGGGGGGGGGCTTAGGGTTAGGGTGTTTAGGATGGTTCAGGGCCCTAAACCCTAAACCCTAAACCTAAACCCTAAACCCTAAACCCTAAACCCTAAACCCTACACATTACAGGGACTGGAGATAAGCCCCAAGGGACACTAAACATGAGAATGACCAAGTCTCGACCATGCCGGGGCACGCGACCTCGAAGGCGTGCTTGACGTGCTCCTTTTCTGCTTCGAGACAGGGGTTGTTGGTTTAGGGATTAGGGATTAGGGTTTAGGGTTTAGGGTTTAGGGTGTAGGGTGTAGGGTTCAGGGTTTTAGGGTTTTAGGGTTTTAGGGTTTTAGGGTTTTAGGGTTTAGGGTTTAGGGTTCTGCTTTCTGCTGCGGGTGTTGGGGTTCAGGTTCCGGGGTAGGGTGGGAGGTTACCTCAGACCCAAAGCCAAAGGAAGAGTTGGTTTAGAAGCCTAAGCCCTGACAACCCTACACCGCCCTAGAAAAGCCAAACCCTACAAAGACAAAAACGCCGCAAAACCTTCAACAACAGCTACAACCCTGCCTCCCGGGAAGCCTAAACCGCGCAAACATCGGCAACTCTCACCCCAAACCCTAAACCCTAAACCCTAAACCCTAAACCCTAAACCCTAAGCCCTAAACAGCAGCCAAGGCTCGCTACGCCTCAGCTCTCGGAAGGCTGCAGCCAGCTTTCGGCGCCAGGCCAACTCGGAGGCCTTCCGCTTCTCCTTGCTTGGGTTTAGGGTTTAGGGTTTAGGGTTTAGGGTTTAGGGTTTAGGGTTTAGGGTTTAGGGTTTAGGGTTTAGGGTTTAGGGTTTAGGGTTTAGGGTTTAGGGTTTAGGGTTTAGGGTTTAGGGCTTAGGGCTTAGGGTTTAAGGTTTGGGGTTTCTAGGGTTCAGGGTGAAATGTTTCTTGCAGTGTTGTTTGGCAAATCCCGAGGTACTGCACTCCGGCGGCATCCCAGAAATCCCATGTGTGGCTACATCCGTTTTGCATTCCCTGTTGCTCACAACTGCAGGGCTTGGGAGTACTAGGGGGGTTTGAGAAGTTTTGGGAGAGGTGGTTTTGGCAACTTCCCTTCGTATCCTCTTGTTCGGGGGGGGGGCGGGGGGGGCTCTTTCGTCCTCCACCTCTGCAGCCTCTGCGGGGCGGTCTGTTGCTGGGGCGGCTTCCGCCGACCCCTGCGCCAGGGCGTTCGGCTCGACGGAGTCTGCTGCAGGCATGGGCTCGTCTGCAGCAGCGGCGTTGGCCGTCGGCGCGGCTGGTGGCTCGGCCGAGCCGTCGGCTGCTGGAGGCATGGGCTCATCTTTGGCAGCGGGCGGCGCCGACGCGGCAAGGGCCTGCCGCAAAGCAAGGTTCGATGCATGGTTTAGGCTCCCCGATAACCTAGACGGCAGAATGTAAAGTCAAAGGAGCCACGAACCCCTGCCCCCTAAGCCCTAAACCCCCAGGTAGAGTAGACGCGAAGCTCGCGCCTCGGCTTCGGCGACCGTCATCTTGACCTTCAGATGCTTACTGGCTCTGGGACGGATCTGGAGGTAGTTGCATGGGCCCGGAATTGAGGAACCCCGTATATGCCCTGTGAGACCAAGGGCCCATACTTCAGAAGCCTTTAAAGAAGGTAAGGGAGTGGGTTTAGGAGGTGTTCAGCTTAGGGGGCAATGTCTGGTTTGCGTTCCAGCTTGCTTTCGCGGGTTTTCTTTCCCAAAGTTTCGGGTGCAGAACGGGGAGCAATATTTTCTGCGCAAGTCCCCAAGCAGAGCCCAAAGCCCTCTTACTCTAATTCATCGTCGGTGGATTGTGTCGGGACTCCTGTGAGAAGCCCCTTGCTGACGGCCCAGCTCTCAGGCCCTTGGAGGCCCCCAAATCTGGGAATCGGACACTTCTATCCGAATCCTGGGGTACCCCCACAGAGCCTCCGAACACCCTAAATGAAGGCTCTGTGAGGGAAGCCCCTCAACGCTGAAAATAAAGGAAGTAGTTTAGAAGCAGGCAGTTGAAGCGAGTTAAGGCCTAAACGCTTAAAGGAACAGGTTAGGGTGGTTTTGCCGAATGAAACGGCGTGGGGTGTGAGAAAAGTGTCAGATGGTCGCCACAATCGGTCCATCGTTGCCTTGCGCATGTTACCAAGCAATCTCTCTCCGTGCCCACCTTAACAACTTCTGCGGCATGACACAGCAAGCCCTAAGCCCTAAGCTCTAAGCCCTAACCCTAAACCCCACCAGCTTTGCTGAAAAATGGGACACCTCTCTCCCACTCCAGGCCTCCTTGATCAATGCCACAGCCATGCGCAAGGTCTCGACCTGCTGGGTTTAGGGCTATGGAGTTCAGGTTTAGGGTTTAGGGTTTAGGGTTTGGGGTTTGATTAGGGTTTAGGGTTTAGGCTTTAGGGTGTCCAGCAAGAAGGGCTCAGGCTTCAACTAGGGTAACTAGGGATCCTATGAGCGTACCGCGTGAAGTCTCGTGTCCAGCCGAAACTCTCTTTGTGATGAGGTTGGGACCTGGTTTCATGGGGGGTAGCTATAAACCCTAAACCTAAACCCTAAAACCTAAACCCTAAACCCTAGGGAGCCTCTCAGGCAAGCTTGGGGATGCCTTAGGGAGTAGTGGGGAGTATTAGTGGACCTTGGGTTACATACCTTTGGGTTTAGGGTTTAGGGTTTAGGGTTTAGGGTTTAGGGTTTAGGGTTCAGGGTTTAGGGCCCCCGCAACACCCTAACCTACCAGTGCAGAGTCCCGAAACCACAGTGGTGCACAGCGCTTTAGCCTTACATACCCCGGAAGAGATGTCTAACTCGCGATATTCGGCCTCCCCAAGCCTTAAGCCTCGTACACCCTTATAAGCCCTAAACAATCCTGAAGCCCTTAAGCCCTTAAGCCCGAAGCCGAATTTCAGCGGCGCTCTTCGCCTTCTCCAACTTCGCAATCTCGTCACGCAAGGTTCGCACCTCCCAAGGTCCACAGAGCTTGTTGTTCTATTTTTACATAGTTATATTAAAACGAACATACGTAGTGACAGGGTTTAGGGTTTAGGGATTTGTTATCACAGCAGGCAAGAAGGAACTTGCGAGCCCAGGGACACTCTTGGGGCTCTCTGGGGATATGACAGCATGCTATGACGTCCTTGTCATCATGTCATCAATATTCCTACATTGTTCATTATACTATTTTTGTATACTACGACCCGTGGTTTATGGTTAGGATTTTGGGGTCTAGTAAAGGCCTTGTCTCAGCCTGAAATTCGTGAGCATATAGGTGCACGTATCGGGGCAGGTTGACTATCCAATGACTTCGTTTTTGGTGGAGGAGGGGGCCAGAAACCCTCAAAACCTAAGCCCTAAACCTCAAAGCCCCTAAGCCCCACACAAAAAAATAGGTGGGAGGTGGGATCAGGGCTTCTAGTGCTTTCGGGTGCGGGGCTTTCACAGTCCCGACTGCCTTCTCCACAACAAGGAAGGGATTTAGGGTTTATAAGGTTTCAGGTTTAGGGCTTCGGGTTTAGGGCTTGGCTTCGGTTATTGACAGCGACTCCGCATTGGAGTCAGTACGCCCGAATCCCCTAAAACCGAGAGAACCCTAAATCCTAAACCCTAAACCCTAAACTCCAAACCCTGAATCCTAAATCCTGAACCCCCAAACCTAAACCCTAAACCCCCGTTGCTTTCCAGTCTGCCAAGATGAAGCTGCCTGGTGCACCGTCAACATCTGCAGGTCGCAGACTTGGGGGTCCAAGCCTCTGAAAACCCGGTGTAGTCTAGGGGATTCAGGACTTCCGGTTCCTAAACCCTAAACCCGAAACCCTAAACCCTTTTAGGGTAGAGGGACTGGCCCTATTGGGGCTTAGGGTTGAGTGGAGGGCTTAGGGTTTTAGGGTCGAGGGACTCACCCAAAACGTGAACGTCTACTTTACTTACACACTGAAATCATAGGCAAACTCCACTCCAGTTCCATACTCTCAGCTCGAGAAAGGCAAGTTCACGGGAAGTGACGGTCAGAAATCAACACGCCTTGGGATGTTCCCCTTCTACTAACAGTCCTTAATAGGGATTATAGTACGCCCTATTAAAATCCTTATTTAGGACTGCTAGTAAAAGGGAACATCCAAAAAGATGCCACAAAAGGCATGGGGATTGCTTGCCTTGCGGGGGGGGGGGGGGGGGGGGGGAGCGCAGAACCTAGAGAAGACCCTGCTAACTCCTAACACCAAACTGACGCTTTAGGGTTTAGGGTTTAGCGTTCAGGACCCGAGCAAACCCTCTAAAAGTCCGAGACTTTGAATCCGAACACCTGAGCAAAGACCAATGGCGAGGCTCGTTTGGGTCAAATCACAAGCCCTGGGCCAACCCCAAAATCCTGTAAGCATACCAACTCTATACCCCTTTCCTAAACCCCAAACCTTCCCAAACCCTCAACTTCTAAACCCTAAGCCCGAAACCCTATCGACCAAAAGCCATCCCAAACAACCCTGAACCCTGAACCCTGAACCCTGAACCCTGAACCCTGAACCCTGAACCCTGAACCCTGAACCCGAACCCTAAACTCTACACCCTAGAAACCTCAACCCCCAAAGCCTAAACCCCTAAACCCCTAAACCCCCTAAACGCCCTAAACCCCCTAAACCCCCTAAACCCCCTAAACCCCCTAAACCCCCTAAACCCCCTAAACCCCCTAAACCTCCAAAACCCGAAAGCCGAACTCAAAGAGCCATCCCAAACAACCCTGAACCCGAACTCAAAGAACCTGCGCCCGGCTTCCCTGGGCCACCGGGCTGGGAAGAGCCGACCTGGCGTGGCCGTTCAGGCTCCGTATTTGCAGGTTTCCCAGAACCTACATGGGCTGAAACCAGGGTTTAGGGTTTAGGATTTGGGGTTTCGGGTTTAGGGTTAGGTTTCAAGGTCTTTCTGATCAATAGGGAATCTTATGATGCTGCTGGGCATCCTCGTCAGGCTTACCAATACGGGTTGAGGGTTGGAGGTTTGAGTGTGTTGGCTGAGGGGTGTAGGATTGAGGGTGCAGGATCTGGATTATCTTTCAGCAGTGCTGACAGGATTGCACCATGCACAGCCCCTGAGTTTCCTGAACCGCAAGGGTCAAACCGTACTAAACCCAAAACCCAAAACCCAAAACCCAAAACCCTAAACCCTAAACCCTAAAGCCTAAACCGTAAACCCTAAACCCCTGGCTCTTGGGCAGCCAGAGGGCCTGAACGCTGCCACGAAGGCTTCGCACCGTCGTGCCTTCTCCAGGCCCTCCTGGAAAGGAGCTGTTTAGGGTTTAGGGTTTAGGGTTTGGGGTTTGGGGTTTAGGGTTTAGGGTTTAGGGTTTAGGGTTTAGGGAGTTGAGGGTGACACACACTTCAAGCCCTAAAAAACAGGATCCCAAGCTCCGAAGGCTGTGAAACAAACACCGCCCTCGCAGCATTCTGAGAACACCCTAACCCCTAAACCCTAAACCCTAAACCCTCAACCCTAAACCCTAACCTCAGCCAAAAACTCTCCGAAGCCCAGTCCTAAAATCCGAAACCCCGAGCCTTAAACCCTGAGACCCCAAACCCTAAAAACCTTCAGACCCGAAAAGCCCCAAACACCCTACAAACTCCACAAACCCGATAAACTCGATAAACCCTGAAACCCCCCCCCCCCCAAAAAAAAAAAAACTTTAAAACACACACACACACACACACACACATACACACACACACACACCCCTCAACCCTGCAGCAAAAAAGGCCAAAAGCTGTCATGACAACTTAGGCCCAGCTCTCGGGTCCAGGGCTTCTGGGCTTGCTTCACTCACTTACGCTTCATACGGGAATAGGGTTCTAAGGTTTAGGGGTTTAAGAGTCAACCCCAAACCCCAAACCCCAAACCCTAAACCCCAAACCCCAAACCCTAAACCCTAAACCCTAAACCCCAAACCCTAAACCCTAAACCCTACAACCCCCTTTGGGGTGTTAAGGTTTCGTGCCCTCGGGGTCGCTCGGAGACTTCAGGGCTCATGCCCCCTAGGGTTTAGGGTTTAGGGTTTAGGGTTTAGGGTTTAGGGTTTAGGGTTTAGGGTTTTAGGCTGCCAGGCTCCTAGGCTCCAAAAAATTGGGAGGGTTCAGGGCTTAAGGGCCCTGGGCCTTCAGGCCCCTAAACCTATAAAGTTTAGGGTTTAGGGTTTAGGGCAGTTTAGGGTTTAGGGTTTAGGGTCTAGGCTTGAGGGCACCCCGAACCAGAGGCAAACCGCTGCTCGCATTCAGGCGTGCGTTCTTTGCGGCAGGCGCTACTCGAACGTCACCGCTCATGTCGTATGCTCTTGCGAACGCTTGGCAGAATTGAGGGAGGTCTGTCTACGCCTTGGCGCTGACTTTTCCTCTCTGAAAATTCTGGCCATTCCCCCATCTCATCCGGCATACTCGGAAGTAGTGAGGCTTGCCATTGAGATTCTGCGAAATGCGCAGAACTTCTGGAAGACAGTTTCGTGAGAAGCGCGCGCAGGTAGTGTTGGGGGGTGCTACGTCCAGACACTGCGGTGCTGGCATGCTGGCCTCACACTTTGGGCTCCTGCAAGCTTACGCATCTGGCTTGAGCCCACAAGCCTGTCCTACCGGGACTTCGAACCAACCAACCTTAAACCCTAAAGACTACACCGCTCCGAGTCCCTCCTGCCAACCGCTGCTTCTAAATCAGGGTAGTTACTTATGGGCCCTTGAGGTTTCGGGTTTAGGGTTTAGGGTTTAGGGTGTAGGGTTTAGGGTTTAGGGTAGTTTCATGGTCCCTTCATATGGTCCCTTACCCCCTTGCCCTTCTAAAGGGTTCTGATGTAGGGGCCCTTTGGGTTGTATGGGGTATAAGGGGTATATACGGGGTCCTGCCGTTAAGGGCCCATACTAAGGGACCATAACCCTAAACCCTAAACCCTAAACCCTAAACCCCATACTAAAGGGACCATGCGACTACCCTAAGACGCTGGGGACCCGGCCACCAAACGCTTTCGCCTGGCGGCTCTGGGACCCCTAACCCCAAACCCAAAACCCTAAACCCTAAATCCTAAACCCCAAACCCCAACTCCAGAACAAAAAACATCGGGATTTTATGACTAAGGGGTTTGGGGTTCATAAGGGTTTTCGTTTTCGGTGCCTAAGGATTTAGTCCCAGGTTCTCCGGGAATTCTTGGGGTTTTCGGTTTCGGGCTTAGTGACTTTCTGCGTAAAACGGGGCTTGAAAGGCTCACCTACTAGAGCCAAGAGTTGCCTAGGAAGAAAAGGGCGCCCTTTTTGGTGATAAGGGAACTTCAACCCTCCAAAAAAGGGACTACTCTGGCTCCTAGACCCTAATCCGTAACTCCTAAACCATAAAAACCCAAACCCTAAACCCCAAACCCAAAACCCCAAACCCTAAACAGATTGGGAAGTCGGGCCTACGCTGCGAACCTCGCCTATCCTGCCAAAGGGGGGGAGGGGACAACAAAGGGCACCACTGTCACCACTGGGATCTGCTGGAAGCCTGCACTTCTCAAAGCCTTGCACCGAGGAATCGTTGTGGCTATAGGGTTTAGGGTTAGGGTTTGGGTTTAGGGTTTAGGGTTTAGGTTTTGGGGTTCAGGGTTCAGGGTTCAGGCGTTAGGGCTTACCTGCCAAACCTTTTGCTGCAAAAAAACAGTGCTTTCAGGAATAACTGTTTCTTAGATGTAAAAGTAGATTTTACAGAATAAGAGCGGAAACCTGCGGAATGCCCATCTTGCTTCCCCGGGCAGGGTTTCCCGAGAACCTTTTTGTATGGTTGACAGGGGGTTTTGCGAGCATTTTTTAGTCATAGGATGTCTTAGTTGAAATCCGGAGTGGTGGCCAACTGCACTGCTGGCTGCAGCGATTCCACTGTCGTCCATTGAGCAGCACTGTTAGCAGTGCATCCTCATACGTCATTATGTAGACTCCGATGTGCAACTTGAGTTCTCGCGATATATGAGATCGGTTTCGGCAAAGGAATGGCAAGTGTAAGGATCGGGTTTGCGCAACAGCTCAACAGTTTTTCATTCCGTGTAGAAGTCATTCCGCATTGGGCATTGGATGCCCACGTCTGGCTGCTGGAGCCGGTGCGCCTGCCTCCCCTGCCACTATGTAGCTGC